TCACTCTTACCCAGTCTTTGTCTTTACATTGCAATAAGTTGGGGCTGTAAAGCACCATTGAAATTAGTTATCTTCTATAGGTGGAGTGTCATTTTTCTGTCACTCTTACCCAGTCTTTGTCTTTACATTGCAATAAGTTGGGGCTGTAAAGAGTACAAGAAATCAACTGTTCTTTCTATTCTCTCTTTGGTCCCATTCACTAAAGTTATTTTAGTTACTGCGGTTTCCTGGTTCTAGTATTTCACTTTCCTGAGATTGACTTTGGGTTTTTGTTTGTTTGTATTTTTGTTTGTTTTTTGTTTAAAGCCTCATTATATCTCTTGGGGGAATCATGTAAATGATTGCTATTTTAAAATTCTAGTCAGGTAATTGCAACATCAGTATCATTTTGGTGACATATCCATTAATATTTTTTCATTTAGTTTTAGATCTTTTGTTCTTGGTACAAGACCTTTTATTAAAATTGGGATATTTTTAATATTTTGAAACTAGCTCTTACTTAAATATTTAATTTTGGTTGGCCTGTGAGGAAAGAGGGATAATGTGTTTTTTATACCCAGTAATATAGAAGTCCAAGTTCCTTAGATAGTTTCTTTGATATAAAGGAGGTTGGAGTCATTGATTCCTACTAGGCAATCTTGAGACATCCAAGACCTGACTAAGCATGTACTGCTATCACTCCAGTGGTACTGGAAGAAGTATCTCATTACTTCCAAGTAGAAGTACAGTGGGCTCCCTGCTTGGTCTTTGCTGGTGGAATGAGATGAGACCACAGTGTTTTTTGTTGTTGTTTTCTGGTGGTTAGCTGGATTAGAATGATTTGTCTTAAGGTTTTCTGTCTCAAAAGTCCCTTGCCTGTCCAGTAGATAGAAAAAAAAACCAAACCTTTGTTGGAGCACTTTTGTTTGTGGCCATTGGCATTTGAGGTTGCTGGTTTCTTCTAAATCTATCATAATATTTGAGGCAAAAGAAATTTCAGATATCTCATCAGTGTTACTCATCAGATCCTAAGGTCCCTGGACAATTTATATTCTCTCTACCTTACAGAATCCTCTAATGTTTGTTTTATATAACATGACAAAAATTTTGTTTTCACTCAGTGGGAAAATAAGGGAAAGTGCTTTCTGGCTTTCCTAACATCAAGATTTCCATTCCTAAATACTCCATAGGCAAGGACAGTTACAATGAGAAAAGCTAACCCCATCTTTGAATACCTTAACATAGTTCTTATTTCATGTGTAGTTTGTGGAAAAACAGAAAACACCTTTCCCTGGGTTTACATGCCTGTTCATCCAGCATGGAGGGTGTGCTGGTGTAAGTAGCTCACTCAGTGTCCTGTCAACCAAGGCAGCATCCCTTTTTTTCTTTCTTGTGTCAGTCATGATTGGAACTATTGGTCTGCTCAGTTGGCTGCATACTGTTATGGCCAGAGATAGCAAATGCTTTGAAGACTGATTATAGAGGTAAAGAGGTTCTTAAGCCACCACTTTGATTCTATAACCATGATTTTCACTGTAGGGGAACTATAGCTCAGGAAATAGGAGAGCTCTCCCTGAGTCCTACACAAAAGCAAATCTAGACTCACTTTGACCATCTGTATGTCCCATTCTATTTTAGATTCATCAGGTTCCTCTACCCTCTCCTCTGTTTTCTAGTATTGTTTGTTTATTTCATGGACATGGATGGCCATTTTATCCTGGACAGCTGGCTCATGGAAGCAGTCCTCCTCCCTGGGGGTGGGGTTGACTATGAGGGTGGTATATATATGGTGGGAAGAGACACAGGAAGATGAGTTAGGCAAGTCCCACACAAACCTGCCCTCAGAATTGAAAGCTTGTGAATCATGGGGTCAATGGTCTCATCTTCATATCTGAAAGACAGTGTACTTTTTGTCTCCTTAAGCCCTGTGTCTAGGTCGTTTGGGAAACGCCTTGGAGAGTCAAGAATAAAATTGCAGGTCAAACAATGGATGACTGGAAAAGTCGGCTTGTAATCGAGAGCATGCTTCCCCATTTCAACATGGTGGGAAATCGTCAGGAGCCCAGAAAGCTCCAGGAATCGGTCAGAAAATGGGCAATTGGGAATGGGGGGAGGGGAGTGTTGAATGCTTCTAACCTTACATTTGAATATGAGATGTGCTGTTGAAATTCTTTGTGCAAATATGGTTTTGTGGGGCCAACTGAAAAATATAAGGGATTTGAATAAAGAAGATTAGCTGCCCCTGCCCTTTTGGGTTCCTAGAGGGGAAAAAAAGAAAAAAAGAAATAAGAAATTGGGCATAGAAAGGGATTTTTACTTAACTCTCTGGGCCTAGTAATTTTTCTGAAAGTCATTTAACACATCTGTGCTTTCCTTTCTAGTAATTCAGCCATCATCCCAGTGTCTGAAACTCAGTTTTAGGGATCCCAGTGGTAGCTCTAAGGGCAAGCATGGTGGTAAGGAGTATGAGAGCCTCTGCTTGCTTAAGTCTGCTAGTCAGTGCCTGCAACATCACCAGTCTACCAAGATTAGGTTAGCAGGAGCTGCAGCAAATACAATGGCTCTTATCTCTGGGTATTAGCCCACAGAGGAGTGGTTTGCTTAATCTCTGAAAGTAGTAGAGCAGAGGGGAAATGGTTCCTATAGAGCCATGGATCTGTTTCCTTCCTGCTTATGGAACTGGGGGCCTTGAGCTCTGAGGTAATGTCATTTCACATAACTGGGAGACTTATCTACCCCAGTTCTCAGGGTTCATTTTTAAGAATTTTTTTATATGTACAGGTGTGAGTGATTGAATCATGTTTCTCTCTCTTTTTTTCTTTGTTGTCAACAATGTGTTGAGGATATGCTATTAAGTCAAAAGCATAGCTTTTAAAAAGCTCTTTTTTAAAACTTTGGTGATTGTAGTACCACAGCATTGACAGAAATGGGCAGTAAGTCGAGACAGACAGAGACAGATCAATTGGTTGGCCAGTATGACCTGTTTTCCAAATTTCCAACAACCAATTGAGGCATTTCCAGAAGAGAACCTGCATTCTAACAATCCTTAATATTTCAGACTTCTTTTTGATAGTTAACGTCTGAGTCTGTAAAGGAAAGCATCTACTCTGTCTCCAGAGTCCACAATCAGTTTAGGCTTGAATTTAAATCCTTCCCCCGACTCACTGGGGCCAAATCCTGGGCATAAGTGTGGGTGGGCTACAGGCACATGAGGGAGACTTCTCTGTTTTTTACTCATTGTCCAGACACCCTCATAAAAATAAAGTATGTCTCCTAAGTAATATTCGGTTTCCATCTGTGTGGGCAATTGTGCATGTCATCTAGGGATCACTGTCCTTAGAGTGGGTCCTTGGAGCAGCTCTGACTGTAAAGCAACCATCATTGCTCATGCCATTTTCTCGCTTGGGTTTTCATGGCAAATGACCTCTAGTATACTTTATAAGCCTTGTAAAAAAAAATGCACATTCATTGTTTTAGAGTTACACCTTGCACTTCATCAAAATTAGCTCTTCCTCCTCCTCCATGGCACAGCTCATTCTCTGCCCTTGGCTTAGAGTGACCTGGCTATTTTTGAAATGCCAAGCTGACCTAGAAGACCAATGATTTGCCCCAGTTGAAGGGGTCCAAAATACACCTGAGTTTCTGAAAGCAGCTTCCTCAGATGAGCCTTCTCCACAGCTGAAACTGCATCTGTCTTCTAGGAAGGCACATATGGTCTCCAAAAGAGGTAGCATCAAGAGAGCGCTCTCTTCCATGTCTGATAAGCAATGTTCTTCTTGTTTGTAAGCATCCAGAGCAGCTCTTGGTGTGATGTTAGAGCAGCTGGGTTCTAGTGGCCAATCAATCCCTGTAGCCTCAGGAAGGTACCTAGTGCTAGCCTCTAACTTTGCTGCAGATACTGAGGATCTAAACAGCAGGGTATTAGAGGTGTAAGAGTCAGACATTGATATTGATATATTAATAGCAACATATCCTGGGTGTTCAACAGTACCATGCTGTCCAAGGAAGTTACTGCAGGGATTCCAACGATTATGGCAGAAAGCTGTCCTTAGCAATAATTGAGCTTACATTTCCAGGGTGTGGCTTAGCTTGATTCAGATGTTCCCATTGTTGGCTCTCTTTCTGAAGCTTAAATGACATCAAGGGTTAATATTGCTCCCTGGTTCCAAGAAATACAGAGTCTGGAAACTACTGTTTGGGTGCCACCTGAGAGCCTGAACACAGAAATCTTCTCTGGGAAGTACTCTTATCTAGTTTCTATTTTTGTTAGGTTGAAAACCAAGCTAACAGAATTACCCATATCACATTAAAATCATGAAATAAAATTCTATCAGCCTGAGAGGAGAGATTTATCTCTGGAAAGTCAGGATCTCATTTGTAGCCCAAGCTGGCCTGAAATGTGTGGTCCTGTTGCCTTCATCTCCTGAGTGTCAGAATTATAGGCATTTACAACTAGCTTTTCAATTGCTCTGGAATTTTCATGTAAACAATTGAGAACTCCTTTGAAGAAAGATTTGAATTTAAATTAATGAATATGTTTAGCCTAAGACCAGGGTTCTCCTCTTATACCTGGTGCTAAGTAGTTACACTGTTCATCCACTGCCATCTAGAAAACTAAATATAGATGAACTAAGGGCAAAAGCAACCAGCTTGACTTCACAATTGACTTGGTATTAGCACTTCACTAAGTATTTGGGGAGCACTATCCCCAGATTCCCCAAGAAGAAGTCATTACCACAAGGAAACTGAGGCTCAGAAAGCTTAAGCACCTTGACCAAAGTCATAGACCTAATAACAGGCAAATCTCAGAGCCCATTGTCCTGCATCATTCTCTGCTGCCTTTTAGACCTAAAGCTTATTTCGAAACACACAATGTTGAGTGCACAGTACAAAGTAAATTGTAAAAAAATGTAGTGATTCAAGTTCCTTTTCAGCATCATTGTTCATCTAGTGCCATGATTATTTAATGACTGCTGTGGCACAGGAAAAATTGTGGGGGTTTTTTTGGCAATATTTCACCATCTCTCCAAGGTTAGTGTATGGAGTCAGTATGTCCAACATCATGTCCTTTACTTTGAAGTTAAGACTGAACTCCTTTTACAGATCCAGCAGGTTGACTGGAAAGCTCAAAAGCATTGAGTACTCCAGAGCCTTCATGAGGCAAGAGTTCAGTGTTCATGTCATCTCTGCCTCTTTCTACATCTATTCCATTTCTATAATAATTTCTGTGCAAAATGGAGAAGTTGGCCTGGAGATATAGCTCAATGGGCACAGTGCTAGACAAGGATCCAGTTTCAGTCCAATTACTGGCCAAAGGAATAGCATTAACTCTTCTAAGAATAATAAAAATGGGGAAGTTAAAGTCACTAAATGGGCAGTTTGGGGAAGAAGGGAGCGTGTATCATCTGTTCATCATCTGTGTTCAGCGCCTCAATGGTACTAAATAACTCTATAGGTTACAATGAGTTGACATGCCAGTACAGATTATAAGCTTGCCAACTACTCTTTGGCTTAAAGGGGGTATTCTTATCACTTTTTTTATGGACAAAATAATAAGGTCTGAGGAACCTAGTACCTTGTAGAGAATAGCTAGTGGGAGGGTGGGGAGCTATATCAATAGTTCCCATTGAATAGTCCTAAGGGTAGTGTGTTCTGCCCCTACAGAATGATCCAAACCAACCCCAGTCTGTCTCCTCACCTCTAATTAAAAGTGGGAAACTGAGTTCTGGAAAGATAGCAGATAATACAACCTCATAAAGAGTATATGGATATCTGAATCACTCAACTAATACTTCCCCCACTTCCATGTGACCAGTTTCTTTTAAAATGCCCAATAGGAGGCACTATTTTTTACCTCCTCTGTGGAATGTAATCAAGGTCAAGATCTGTGCCCATCAACTTGGAGCTCTATTCTTTTATTTGCAGAAAGAGTACTAAACTCAAGAAGAAGTCTCAGAGCCTCAAAGCTGTAGCTAACAGTATCACCCGGAACAAGTTCCCTTCATCTTGCATTTTGAGAGCTTGGATATGATCTATAAGGGCCTATCTATGTTTGGCTCCAATCACAATCATAGGGCCCCTTTTATGTGCAAAACTCAAGGCTAGATTCTGTGATCCAAGACTTTAGTATTCCTTCATAGGAAGCAAATCTATTCTATGTGGAAGTTTGAGACCAGGAGGAGGGAACCTGGTGTTCCACCCACTTTACTGCTTCCTATGCCTAGATTAGAGACTCCAATATCCACAGGGTCCTCTGCCCATCATACTCAGCCCTGCGCTCTCAGAACAGAACATTGGACAAAACAGAATCCCAGATATCTTTTGTGCTTTCATCCAATGGCATAAATAGGCAAAGAGTGGATAGCATCTTTACTTCACTGTGGTGGTTCCATTTAGGCCTTCACAGTTTGCTGTCCAGCTTGGCAGAAAACCAGGCTGCTTTAGAGTTCCATGGGGAGGTAGGGAATTAGAAACTGAAGTGACTCTGAGATCTCAAAGTTCAAAAGTTGGTGTCTTTGCCAGTAGTCGCTCCTTCATATAGCTTGTAGGCCTGCTACAGGTGCAAGTGTGGCCCTAAAAGAGAGGATCCTTTGTATGTGGGCTGCACTGATGAAACTCATGTTGATGCCTGAGAGCAGCCTCCACCACTTATTAGGTTCTTAACTTGAGCTTAGGGACCTCAGTTTCCACAATGGTCAATCGGCCTTAAGAAGTGCTCTCTGCCTACATCAGATCTCTGAGTAAGACAGAGTTGTGGACCTGTCCTAAAGTACACAGGCTATGACTGGTCTTGACACCTCTTTAGCAACCAGAGCTTGGAAATGAATCAAAATTATTATTATTTTTCTATCAGAAAGGCAAGGGACAATATGTCCTTGGAGCTCAGTTTGGAATACAGAGGACCCCTAAGCGTGGCTATGGTTTCGTTGGCAGCCCCGTTGCACAGAGGAGAGCTGGATTTATAGTGCAACTCTGAGCATTCTGGGTCAAGGCCTGCAGTGTGTATGTGCCTTGCTATTTTGGGGATCCTCCCCATGGAGCACGCAGCTGTTCGCTCTCTTTGCCTGCCCCCTTCTCCTTCT